GACATCATCGCAGAACTCGCTGTCATTGGACTATATTTTAACCCATATAAAACAGCGCTTCATGTTACAAAGTATGTTTTGGTGTTATTATTATGTTAGTTATACATTAAGTTCACTATAAAGTGTCTCTATGTTGTGAAAAATTCCCAACCCTAACCATTTCTGTACATTTCAATGAACTACAGCATCACGTTTCCTGTTCTATTGATAGAATGACAGAGATATGTTGGTAATGTAGTTTAAAAAGTTTAGTAATGAAACAAATGTTAAATAAATAATATTGTTAATGGACAACTGGATATCTAAATATGTTAATTGTACAAACCTTTATGACATATATGAGGGACAGGCTGAAATGTGATATTTCTGTCAGGGGTTGGGGTAGAGGAGATGAGCCGAGGACTCAAGTACAGAGGAATAAGGGTTATTTATTAATAAAAATAAAGCAAAATACAAAAACTACCCCGAAGGGGGAACGACACGACACGAGGGGTACATTCAACGTACATACGACGACGAAATGTTTTATAAACAAGGTTCGGGAGGAGCAGGTGCAGATGATTAACCCAATCAGCACAGGTGGAGATCAATCAGTAATCAACTCAGGACAAGTTAAATAACAGCATAACACTCCTTTGATTCCTTGACAGTTAATCAGCATCCCACCTCCACCCCATCTCCTCACTTCGGGCAGAAATTCCGAGTTCAGAGCCCTCCACCCGGACAGCACGCCAAGTACGCATAGCCCTCACCATAATAATTATATCTAGATGTGAACTCGTGAAACAGCACAGGACTCAAAACTAGTGATGGCGAGATGAAGCTTCATAAAGCATTGAAGCGTTTCATCCAATTGGTTCACTCATGTGCTGAAGCTTCATGGTGCTTCATTTGCTCTATTGTGCCATCAAGTGGACAATAAATGTAAAACGTGCAGTGTGATTATAATGACACTATGGCTTTGGTGTCTGAAGCATTGAATGAATTGAATGAAGAAAAATAAGCTTGAATAGATCGCTAACAAACTCGCAAAGTCCCAAGTCCACAAAATGTGAGGGGGAATCTATTGCATTTTGCTGGCCCTTATATTTCAAATAGACCGCCAAACCGCGAACCACTTCCTGAAGCAGTCACGTGGCACAGGCGGCTCGCGAGGCTTCAAACGTCACCACATACGTCACCGACACAAGCCTCGATACGCGCTTCACAGAAATCATCCCGGATTACTCGACACACGCTTCGAAGCCTCGATACGGGAGGACACATCACTACTCAAAACACAAGGAGAAAAAATAGGGGTTTTCTCCGTTTAACCTTGCCTCGCAAACCCCTCGTTATTTGACATAATCAAGATTATTGATATAACATGCAATTAAACCTTGAACAATAATGCAATTTTGACAACCTGAAGATACGTCATAAAAATAGAAAACACAACCAGATCAGTGCTTAGCATAACAACCAACCAAACCTCACTAAACATGAAAAAAGAAAACAGTAAAAGACAATAGTAAAAAAAAAGAGAAAAAGAAGAAAAGAAAGAAAAATTTAGGATCGTAAAGTACAGTAGAAAACTATAACATAAAAGTTTTTTTGAGGGGAGACCTCCCCCAGGTTTTATGGGGGCCACCTTCTTTAAACACACCCGAAAAAGGTGCATAAACACTTACCAGAACTGTTACAAAACGTGGTAGGGACCATACCTGTCAACACTCCCGTTTTTCCGGGTTTCTCCCGATTTTTAGCCCTATCTCCCAGACCCCTCCCAGTTTGTTATTTCTCCCTGGAAACTCCCGTAATTTGCATGGCCCAAACTCCTTTATGAATAATCGGACCAATATGTTTGTCTAATGTTGACCAGTTGCCAGATCTTGTATTAAATGCATTATATTCACACAATTAGGGGTGTAACGGTACATGTATTCGTATTGAACCGTTCCGGTACGAGGCTTCCGGTTCGGTACGCATACAAACCGAACGATTCCTTGGACCATTTTTCCTGCCGACAAAATCCGCGCTGGCGCGACGGCACAACCACCACAACGCTGCGCAACATCAAATGGCAAACGTAATGAAAGCGGAACGAAACTGCGCTACTCGTTATATTGTGCTTCACGGACCGTTTATCAGTTCGGACCAGCAACATCTGTGCAGCGCGAGCTGATCTTGATCAAGCGACACCGTTACAACAAAGCGCTAAGAGATCCAGTGAAGAAAACAGTTGAATTCGCCACAGGAGTAATAACATCGCTGCGAGATCTAGTGAGAAGCATTCACATTTCTCTGTTATTAACCGTAGATCTCTATTAGATCAAACAGCGCTGACGTGGAAACCAGGAGAAACATTGTGCCGTGAATGATCTAGTTATAGGCTTCAAGTCCACAGATCAGCAACATTCACCATGGGTTTAATATAGTAACACTAACTGTAACCATGGAAGTTTGGCTGGAATAGTGAAATGCTTTCAAGTACTTCACACATCTTTTCCCAGCACTTCATAACTCGAATATTATCTAAATATTATATATATATAAATATAGGCCTATATTTAAATGTTATTTTTAATGTGATGACCAAAACATTATTTGTTCATCCTTCAAAGATGAACCTGAACGTTTCAAGATGTAGGAAAACTCAAACTTATTTAAAAATATTTTTTTCTTTTAATAAATAGGACATTTCTCTGGGATTTCTATCTTTTTGCTGTATCGAAAATGTACTAAACCGTTACAGCCCTACACACAATCCACACATCATATACAATTTCAACCCGTTTGTCATCTCAACCTGGCAACCAGGGCTTGACATTAACTTTTTTGCTCACTAGCCAATGTGGCTAGTGGTTTTCCAAAGTTACTAGCCACACAGCATTTTTACTAGCCACATTTTTGTTGTTGTGAAATTACCTGATTAAAGTTTACTATGGCGTGCTAAAATTTACTTGAACTAGATTTACAACCCTTTTAAATGTAAAACCACTGTACACACGCAAATCAAGACTAGGTATAACAATACAGGTCATTATCATTAGCTCTGATAAGGTTGTGTGTAAAGCTCCTTTAAAGCTCCTATAAAACCATGTATTAAGATGAAGACATAGCTTCTTATTGCATAATAAAAGTGGTGCATGGATGTAGAAGATTAATAAAAAATATAAAAAAATAAACTGAAAAAACCTTTAGCATTAGAAACACTGTCTGTTTAAATATCAGAATCAGAATTACTTTATTGAGCCCCGATGGGAAATTCTTTGTTACACGTTGCGTTTTCTGTGTCTTTGCACAGCAGAAACGTGTCTGACTGGTGTCTGCTGGTAACGTACATGGAGGGCTATCTCGGGATTCGGGCGTTGCAGCATAGACGGCAAAATAGGCTATAAGAATATTTCGTTCTGTATTGACAGGTGCAATATTTGATTTTTTTTAAATTATATCTGCATTTGCCAAAACCTATGGACTTTCAAACATAAAAATGCCATTTATTAATATGTGTTCGTGTCAACATGACATATTTTCCTATTCTATTTAGCCTGGAAACGCTTCCAACAGGCTTGCGTGTCGCGTGAGAAATAGGCGTCGGTTTTTTTTCTAGCATGCACGCGTTTTCGGCGCGGCTCGAGACGCGCGTCACGCAGGCAGTGTGCAAGTTCTAACCTGTTAACATGGGAGCCGAAATAAAAACGGACACACCACGCAGCGGAGACGCGCACGCCACGCAGCCAGTGCGCTTCAGATGCCTTTTGAAAAGACTACAATTATTCAACCCGCCAAAGTGGCTAGTTGAAGTGACTGTGTTACCCGCCACGAGCAAAATCCACCCGCATTTGGCGGGTTGGCGGGTGTTAATGTCAAGCCCTGCTGGCAACCTATACCCCAGTTGCCCAGTTGCGCAGTCGCAACCCCCAACCCCCCCGAACGGTCCCAGCACAAATCTCCCGGATTTTGAAAACCAAATGTTGACAGCTATGGTAGGGACCAAAGCAAGCCCACACAAGTAGATATGTGGTAAAATCTTAATGCAGATCCCTTTCTCAACCAATATTAATAATATAAACATATGCAAGAGGGTTATATACGAGCGTAAGTGAAGTCTTAAACACAACAGGGACTGACTTCCAGTCTTCATAAGTTAGTTATGTGAAAGCACACATTGTAAAGCTCACCGCGTCATATCAGATAAATGCTTCTCAATCCTGATTTGCAACACTGGACACAAAAGAGAAAACATCGGCCGGTGAGAGGAAAGTTTTCTTTATCCCGTTGAACGACACCTGTGGCTTCGCTGGGTAGAGCATGGAGTATTGTGCACTAGGGCTGTCAATGAATATTCTAAATTTGAATATATATTCGAATAGTTTTAAAAAACAGAAATTCGAAGGTGAAAATTAATATTCGAATGTGGGGGAAAAAACGCGGTAGCGGAGGTGTGCGCGCGCTGCCTGAGGGATCAGGAACAGGTCACAGCTGAGTCGCACTGGCACAGCGTCACTGCTGAAAGTTGACTTATATGGAAGATGGCAAAAAGTGCAGAGCCCAACTCGACTGCAGCAGAGAAAGTGATTTTAACCCCCCAAAATCTAAAAAGCCATGTCTGGAAGTACTTCGGATTTTGGTCGGTGGATGGTAAAATTGTGGAGCCGCGAGATAAAGTTGTATGCAAGCTATGCAAGATGCAGTTAGCATACCATTCGACCACTAGCAACATGAGGTCACATCTCGAAAATGTGCACCCAAATGAGCATGGCATAATGTGTGGAACTCCAGCTAAACAGCAGCGTCTTGACACTTATTTTGCACCGCCCACCACAAGCTCTTTGTCTGCAACACGACAAGAGGCCATCACGCAGAAATTAATTTCGTTCATCTGTAAGGACATGAGACCGATCAGTGTCGTGGATGGGGCAGCTTCAGGGAGTTCTGTCAGTCAATGGAGCCGAGGTACAGTATTCCTTGCCGTGGAACAGTCATCAATAGAATTGTAGAAGTGTATAACAGCACCTCAGCCAAAATAAAGGAAGCAATCAAAGACAAAGATGTGGCTCTTACCACGGACGGGTGGACATCCCTAGCGACAGCATCCTATGTTACAGCAACGGCCCATTGGATTAATGATGACTGGGAAATGCTTAACATTGTGCTAAAAACAAAAGAGTTTAAGGTAAGCCACACTGCAGAGAATGTAGGCGAATGCATTCAAGAGATATTGGAAGTTTTTGGCCTAGAAAGGGGATCTGTGATTGCCATCACAACGGACAATGCCACTAATTACGTCAATGCAGTGGAGAGACATCTTCAAACAGTAAATATACCATGTGTGGCGCACACAATAAACTTGGCTGTGCGTAAAGGGCTCGGGGTCAGAGCCATTGAAATCCCCGTTAGTAGGCTGAAATTGGCGGCCTCACATTTCAGCAAATCTTCCGCCGACAGCTAGCTCCTTCGGCAGAAACAACAACTTTTGGGATTGAAAACTGAGAAGCTGATTAACGACTGTCCGACGCGATGGAACAGCACATATGAAATGATCTGCCGGGCATCGGAGCAGCAAGCAGCTGTGTCTGCTGTCATCTTCGAGAAAAAACTGTCAAGAATGGAGCTGACCACAAGCGAATGGTCCCTAATGGAAAAGGTGAGCATAGTGTATGAAATATGTACCGTAATAGGCTGGACAAATGCAAAACTGTCCTAATATATTTTTTAAATAGGTAGAATGATGGCCCTAATTTACTTTGTGTGAATGTTAATAAGCTGGACAAATGCAAACCTGTCCTAATGTCAACGCATTATATTTACTTATTTATTGCAGGTGCAAGAAGTCCTTAAACCATTTAAAGTGGCAACAGAAGCACTTTCAACTGACAAATATCCAACAGCGTCGGCTGTACTGCCTTTAACACATGTTCTGCTCGCTCAACTGAACAAGCGAACGCCAAACGAAATAGAACAACCTGCATTGTCAGAGATGAAGACAAAGATCGTCACAGATCTGGAGAAGCGTTATAGAGAGGAAAAGGGCGCAATTATGCTGCTTAACAAAGCGAGTTACCTGGATCCACGCTTTCATCGCCTCGTTCATTTGAAAGTGGAGCAGAGACGGCAGGTGCAGGTGGCTATACTGGAGGAGATGAAACAAGTGAATGTGACAGGAGGCACAGGCAGTGAGGCCGCTGCCGGACAGCCCCGTGATCAGCAACCCGCAGAGAAAACTGCGTTATCTGCTATGGGGTGTCTCTTCGGAGACACGTATTGCACATACAGCCCAGATCAGGACATCAGTCTGCTGCTTCAAAAAGAGATGTCGATGTGTGAACAAGAGTCTCCAATACCTGCTCAACAAAATCCTCTCATGTGGTGGAAAACTTTGGGCTCTGGGAGATACCCTCACGTCGCCCAGATGGCAAAGAAATATCTTTCCATCCCCGGATCCTCAGTGCGCTCTGAGCGCGTCTTTTCCTCCGCTGGGAATATAGTAAATAAAAAGAGATCAGCACTGGCCCCTTCAAATGTGGACTGTCTTGTGTTTTTGGCAAATAACCTGTAGACCCGACGGTGACAGTGCACTAAAAAGACAATGGAATAAATTGCAGTCAGTTTTTTTTTCTTCCTTTTTTTAATACAAGCACCAATAATGTTGTCACAGATGAGAAGAATGCCAACAGGTAAGTGAAACAAAGGAATTTATTGATCACAGAAACAGAAACAGCAGGTGAGTAATCCTTCTTTAAATCCGTCATAAACGGTGCACGGAAGAATCAGAATGATACAAGTCTCTTTCAGAAGCAGGCGTGGGAAACTGGACGAGATCAGAAGGCGGAGAACCCGGATACAGATGGACGGCTCAGATGAAGAACAGAACTCTCAGCAGAGCGGGTGAGTTTGCAGGATCAGATTCGTATACTGAAGAATCTCAATATGACGAGAGTCAGGACGTCTAGGGTTTTGCAGACGAGACCAGACAAAGGACAGAGAAAACTGACGGCGATTATAAAGGTGAGTGAACTTGATTGCAGATCGCCGACAGCTGATGCAGACAGGTGTACAGAATCAAAACTCCGGGGATGAGGAACGAGTGGGTGGAGAGACAAGATCTGGCGCTGATGACTGGTTGTTCGTGACAAATGTAAGTAGCCTTTTTCGTTTGTAATAGCACTCTATTTTTGAAGAACCTCAGGGTAAAAGTTCGTTGTCACATTTCTCGGAATTGTGTGCCTCATTTTATTTAACGTTAAACAGAAACATTAGTGTACTGTACTGACTGATTAGATATTGCAGGCACGAGCGAGAGTGAGGTCTGCGGTCTTTGCCATTAGTTGTTTTACTTGTTTTTGTGTAGGTAATACATTGTTAAATATGTTTAAATTTAAATAAACTACCTATACAAGAAGTTATGTCTCTTTGTATTCATTTGTCCTGTTATTGACGTAATGTGCGTCATTGAAAAAATGCGCAACCAGATATTCGAATAGTTTGAATATATGTGTGTTTTTTAGAGGGAATATTCGAACGTCATTTTTGAGCAATTTTGACAGCCCTATTGTGCACCAATATCTCTGAGACGCTTTTTAGCCTCCGCAAACTCCTTTCGCCTCCGCAGCACTACAGCAGAAAGGTCATTGTAGAGAGAAATCCTCTTGCTGCCCATAGTAATGTCGCCCTCCGCCGCTTTCCGCCGTGCTGCTTCCATCACTCTCTGCTTAACTCCCGCACACACGTCTTTCCCTTATGCCGCCATCACGTGTCTCCAAAGTCAGTTTTTTTAAGAACGGTCTATATGTTTTAATTAGTTGATTAGGAATTGTAATGTCTTTTAGATATGGGTATTTTGCGTTTGTTTATTATGTTGTGTTATAAAACGGTTAGTTCCAATCCTTGATTCTGATTGGTCAATAGCTGTGATTTATTCATGATAAAACACGGCTATGACCGCTTCACCCAACGGTTCTATTTATCACTGCGCAACACTGCGGTTCCTGTGTTGTTTTTATTTGAGCTTTCCTGCATAATACACATTGGAACGTTTTTGCTGTTCACGGTCAGGGACTATTTTTTTTCTAGCGGAAGGAAGGCTTTTAGTGATTTTACTTCATGAAAGTTGCACTAATACATTTTTTTTTACTTTAATATTTGTATTGTGTGGTAACCGTTTTATAAAAGCAATAAGGTACTCGAGGCAAGTGCTGTATGGTGAATAAGTCACGGCTGAAGTGGTTACTCCGCTTCGCGTCGAGCCTAACAACGCCCTTCAGCCGTGACTTATTCACGATACAGCACAGCCTCGAGTACCTTATTGCTTACTTGATTGTGATTGATTGTGTTAAGTATCAGTTAGTTAATCAATAACTAATTAATTCTGTCATACCTCCTGAAGAACTACTATTAATTATGGTTAAAAAAATAACTATGAAGTAACTACTAATGAACAGTCATACACAGTAGTTACTACAATAATCCAGTTTTATGTTAGCAGTGGAGTGGTGAATGAAGTACGCAAATCAAGTACTTGAGTAAAAGTACAGATACCACAATAAAATATTACTCCAGTAAAATTATAATTAGGCCTATTTGTCACAGGCCGGGGGTGGGGAGAAACCACGACCCGTACCAACTACCACTCTGAGGAGCTACACCAGGAACACCACGAGGCTGGACACAAGGTAGAGTAAGTAATTTGTCTTTATTAAATATTAAAACAGGGTTAAAAGGGCGTCCGCCTGGACGGCTAAACTCATTCCACTCTTCCAGACGGCAGTGGATCTCAGGAGCTCAGGCAAGGGGACCTTCAGGTGAGAGACTCAAAGTGGATAAGTAACAGACTTCTCTTGTTTCCTTAGGATCACGGTGGAGCTCAAGACGGGCTACAAGTGTCTCCAGGAGAGCAACTCCATACAACGTGAGGGCTGGCGTTTCCTACTCCTTCCAGACGGCAGTGGATCTCAGGAGCTCAGGCAAGGGGACCTTCAGGTGAGTGACTTAAAGTGGATAAGTAACAGACCTCTCTTGTTTCCATAGGATCACGGTGGAGCTCAAGACGGGCTACAAGTGTCTCCAGAAGAGCAACTCCATACAACGTGAGGGCTGGCGTTTCCTACTCCTTCCAGACGGCAGTGGATCTCAGGAGCTCAGGCAAGGGGACCTTCAGGTGAGTGACGCAAAGTGGATAAGTAACAGACCTCTCTTATTTCCATAGGATCACGGTGGAGCTCAAGACGGGCTACAAGTGTCTCCAGAAGAGCAAATCCATACAACGTGAGGACTGGCGTTTCCTACTCCTTCCAGACGGCAGTGGAACTCGGGAGCTCAGGCAAGGGGACCTTCAGGTGAGTGACTGGCTTTCTCGGTTCCTGTAACGCAGCAATAGAGCTGAAGTACCTGCAGTAGGGGAGCTTTGGACTCGTGAGGAACTCAGGAAGTGGCGGTCTTCGAGATCGGTGAGTCCTGGGCAGCGTGAATGACTGGCTTTCTCGGTTCCTGTAACGCAGCAATAGAGCTGAAGTACCTGCAGTAGAGGAGCTTTGGACTCCTGAGGAACTCAGGAAGGGGCGGTCTTCGAGATCGATGAATTCTGGGCGACGTGAGTGACTGACTTTCTCGGTTCCTGTAACACAGCAATAGAGCTGAAGTACCTGCAGTAGAGGAGCTTTGGACTCGTGAGGAACTCAGGAAGTGGCGGTCTTCGAGGTCGGTGAGTCCTGGACAGCGTGAGTGACTGGCTTTCTCGTTTCCTCAAGATGAGAGTCAATCGGCACCTGCACACATCTAGACAGCTGGACTATAAACTTCCCCACCCCACACGGGCTGGACGATCCCAGGGAAAATTGGAGCGAACGGAATGGGTAAATCTTCTTCACACTTGTGTATACAGCAATCCCTCCACAATTCACACGTGCACACTTCAACTTGTAAGTAGGGCTGCAACTAGCGTTTATTTTGATAATCGATTAATCGGACAATTATTTTTTCGATTAATCGATTAATCGGATAAAAAATTCAATTAGATTTTTTGTTTATTATGACTAAATAAAACCCGGTTACACTTTATTTTAAGGTGTCCTTGTTACAGTGTAATTATATATTTAAGTACAGAGTAATATTAAGTAACTACATGTACTTACTATAGGAATAGGGTAGGATTAGGTTAAGGGTTAGTTGCATGTAATTATGCATAATTTACTGTTATTACTACAGTAAGTACATGTAACATATGTAACAAGGACACCGTAAAATAAAGTGTTACCTAAAACCCTAAATTAGGATATTTATGTGTAAAAGTGTACTTTAAAAAGTGCAAAAGCCACACATTGAGTTTTACAAATATCAATATTTGCATTGTTTTTAATGATAATTGCTGATGGCAAGTTGACAACCATAATTATTGTAAAAAAAAAAAAAACATTTATCCAACATATTGTTTTAACACAATTTTTGTTAAAACAAATTTACAGACATGTTGTTCAGATGTGAAGATATAAACTAAAAACATCTCAAATATATAATTCATTTAATTTTTATTTAAAATTAATTGAATTATAAGGATAATTTGTAAAAAAAAAATATATATAGAAAGACTGAAAACAAGCGTGTAAACATAGAGCCGCAGTAGATCGCATTTGAAAAACAATTAAAACTTAATAGTAGACAAATGCTATATAAAGAGAACGTAATGGAAGTACGCAGCAAGCTAACAGGCTTTATTAAAAAGACAGGAAAAATGATGCATTAGTGCACAAACATTCGCTGAAAACCACTGAGTACAGTGACTAAAAAACAATAATTTACTGCTGCTGTTATTAACTGCCTTTATATTTAGTGCTTCGCTTTGTAAAGACCGTTTTAATTTAATATTTCTGCGGTAGCACTATTTTAATCCATCACTTATGTTGCGAGCGAACTGATTGCACAACCTGATGCTCGAGACGCAAAATACAGACATCCCAAGTCTCCCGGAAGTTCTGGAAGTCACCCGCATATTGATAGCGGCTCGCAAATTAGTTCAAACTCCCGGGATTTGAGCACGCAAGCAAGAGCGCGCATGCGAGACAGAAGAGACTGTGCTCCAAACCGTGTAGCGCGAGCGCGCGGCAGAGCAACGGAGGGAGAGAGACCTTGCGTGTGTGCCTCATGAAGCGCGTGTAAGACAGAGAGCATACTGATTGGCCTGTTTCAACCAATCACCAGTAAACGCTCCCCGTGACGTAAGCAGACCAACTAATCGATAATGACATTCGTTGACAACTATTTTCATAATCGATTATTATCGATTTTATCGATTAGTTGTTGCAGCCCTACTTGTAAGCACTGCAATTCCACAAATACCTCACAGTGGGTTTAAGCCTTCACTCCATTCAACCTGGGTCATCCAAACTGCTGCTCGGGTTCCAACCGAAGGGGGGGAGAAAGTGCAATGATGAGGCGGCTGCACAGGGGGGTTATTCAGGAACACAAACGTGCCTTCCCATCACCAGCTTCAACCTCATGAGAATAGAACAGCGAACATGGACAGATCTTCTAATTGGTCACACGGCCTCCATGAACTCAATCACAATGTTAGTACAGAAAGATGGAATTGGGTACTTAACTCTTCGTAAAGGGCGATCTTCACAATGCCTTCATCAACTCAATCACAATGTTTGCACAACAAGCTGAAATTGGGTACTTAACTCTTCATAAAAGACGATCTTAACAATGTTTGTACAGCAAGCTGAAATTGGGTACTCAACTCCTTACAAATGTCGGTCCTCACACTCACGGGGACAATCTTCTCCCTCGCCCGTCCGCCCACCCCTGGCCAGTCCCTCCACTCCCCGTACCTCGCCGCTTTTCTTTCTCACTTTTTCCTTGTCTCCTCTTCCTTCAACTGCTCCATTTATATCCTCTGCAAACACACACTCTCGCTCGCCACCGTAATCAACTCTCATTTCATTCAGCTGTAAACAATTTCTCCGCGTTTTCCCGTTAGATCGGCCATGACGGCAAACCGGAACCGGCCTGATGTTACACCGGAAGTGCTCCCCCCGGGGGACTATGCACCGAATTTTAGTTCTGGCTTAGTCACCCGGTGACATATTCATTTTCAAAATCACCTTAGTAAAAGTACAAAGGTAATTCATTTTTAAAGTACTTGAAAACTAAAAAGCACTGATTTTTCCCCCCTAGCCAGTTTTAGTCATTCTTCAGCCCTAATAAGAAAGAAAAGTGCAGACATTTACCTATATGATATATTGATGAGCAAATAACTTTTTATTTCATTAGCAAAACTTATCATAATGTGCTCTATGAATGTAACATTCATAGTGTTTTTTTTTACAGTAAGTTTGATTTGAGTCAGAAGTATGTGGTAATTATTTATTAATTAACAATTGATTTCCTTATATGTTCACTTTAGAATAATGTTTCAGGTTATCAGTTGCCTAATTCCTGGATAATTATTTGATAGCTCTTTATTAATTATTAATGGGTTCCCTATATTTTCAGTTTCCCTCAGTCGTTGCCTCAAATACATGAATTTACTCAATGGCATTCTATGCTGAGGAAAACAGACACACACAGTACTGTATAAAATATAAAAACTAATCTGAGGTTAGTTATGGCAAAGCATTTGTGTGGGGTTCCTTTCTGAAGTTGATTTCTTACAGAACACACTCACAAAACCAAACAGGCAAACATTTAACTTTAACATGATATGTGTTTGTTAAAATTGCTACTTCTATTAATAATATTAGTGAATAAGAAAGGTCACAACTCAATGTAGTTTTGTATGACACTTCATTAGTTACTTCTTACTTATTATTCTTTAACCTTAATAAGTAGATAATTAGTAGTATATCTTCAGGAGGTATGACAGAATTCATTAGTTATTGATTTACTAACTGTTACTTAACACAATCATACAATTCTAATACATACTGATTAGTTAACACATCTTCCTTAGTAATTAACAGTAGTGAAGAAGTAGTTATTAGTTATGCAGTAAGTAAGAAACAGTATTCTAAAGTGTTACCCTACTTTGTAATTGTTGTCTTGTGCTGCCTATCTTGAGCAGGACTCTCTGCTAGAAGAGATATTGTATCTCAATGCTTCCTGGTTAACTAAAAAAAATAAAAAGTCTGCAGTTTCTGCTTCTCTCCACATCGCTCTCATACTGTGATCTGAAACACCAACAATAAAACATCCCAGTGCTGCCATAATCAATACCAGCACTAACTCTTATTTCATATCACATAAAAGTCTTTATAAAGTTTGCTAAACATTGATATTCTGTAGTTTGTGATCCTCCATCAGCAGCTGCCGTTTCTCTCAGCTGTATCAGTGCAGTCACTGTGACGTCTGACTGACAGAGGTTTTTGTACGACTCTTTATCACTGTGTGAACACATACTGACTGTTGATGGTGTGCCTACTCAGACAGTAATAATCTCCTGTATCTTCAGTCTGGACTCCACTGATGGTCAGAGTAAAATCACTGCCATAGTTAGATCCACTGCCACTGAATCTAGATGGAGTTCCAGTATAAAGGCTTCTTATGTAATAAATCAGGAGTTTAGGAGCTTCTCCAGGTTTCTGCTGATACCAGAATAAGTCATTACTGGTTAGTCCTACATCCATATGACACTCTATTGTTGCTGTTTGACTCTGGTGGACAGTTTTAACTTCAGGTTGAGTCAGAGTCACTCCTCTGGATTCTGGAGAAGAGAAAAGAAAGTCAGTTAGTTAATCACCTTATATTTGTATATTATGATCAAAACAACAATGGCATAATATATTTATATTAAAAAGTAACAACCTTGAATAAACAGTGCAATGGTCCAGATGAAGATGATGATGTTGTTCATAGTTGTAGTTTAGTCTTGTGTGATGATGAAGAGTGTGTTGTGTTCTGCTCTCAGTCATGAAGTGTTAAACTCACAGCACTATAAACACTCTCAGAGCACTGAAGCATGTGCTGACAATGCAAAGAAGTGGGCAGGATTTACAACAGCTTGTGCTGAGAACAAACTCATATACACTCTACATAGAAGATTTTACTCTCAGGATAATGTTATCGAACCCATTTAGTGATTAATTGTACATATTGATTAATTGTGAATATTTGTGCTTATGTTTGTCAGGCTGATAAGACACTAGGGTTTGTCTGGAGAATCATGAATGTAGATCATTTTAAACATATTTGTCAAACTCAGAAATCTCTCTTTATGAGTACAGTCATGTGCTACACCTTTAAAAGCATGTTAACAATGAGAAATCAAGAACTAAATAAATATGTTTTACTATATTTAGAGTAATCCAAAAATAGTCCATTATGGTCTTTGGAATCAATGTTGACATGTTGCAATCTGGGAAATATTTTCATGATGTCTATTTTTCCCACTTTTTCCACATGCATGAAGTTCATCAGTTCTCATAATCAGGTCATATATGAGACTATATTAAACAACAAGCATCTGAAATGTTCATGTAGCCACATCGAGATGTCCCTTAATTAGCTCAAATTATTTATAGGGAATTTTAATAATCAATCATGAATATGATTCATATCTTGCATGTTACAGTTAAATTATCGAAATTGAAAACAGATCGATCGTATGTATGAATGGTAAATCATAACGAATTATAATTCCTCATTCATATATCAATGGTCTCATTACAGATCGATTATATGAGATAACCTTAAGGGAATTAATTTAGTTATCAAACAATCGGTTTGTCCAGCAAACAGCCGTAAGATTAACTTACCAACTTCTCAACAAAGTTATCCCTTTTTATAAACTCCAAGAAATATCAATGTTCCGGCCGTGAACATTAATTTTCCGGTGTTTATAAAATTTAGGTTACTGAAATAGTAACAAATTGTAAAGCTTTGTAGCTAGACCAATCATTTCATTGACTTGTAAATGATGAGCTTTTTTAGACAGAAAGCAATCAAGAATATAATGGCTTTAATAATGGGGCTAATAATACATTGAACTACAATTCACACAGAATATATATATATATATATATATATATATATATATATATATATATATATATATATATGTACAGTATACACCGGAAACAAACAAAACGAAAAACATTACAAACACGAAATAAATTGGATGAGAGAGGAAGACAAAATGAGGGAGAGAGAGAGAGTTGGGAAGAGAGAGAGAGAGAGAGAGAGAGAGAGAGTAAGATTGAGGGAGAGAGAGATTGAGAGTAAGGAGATCTGGAGAGATCTTCTTGTGGCAAAAGTCACAGACAACCTTGAGAGACACACAGATCAAATCCCCTGAATGGGGCAGACAGATCTTAAACCATTTAAATCGATAGGAATTACGATACTTGCATGGGTATTTCTTGTGCACAGCAAAAAGTCGAGTGTTGAATTAACTCTCACAGAGTTGATTTCAACACTTTTTGAGAGTTTATATAGCTCCACACTCTCCACACTCAAAAGTTTATTTAACTTTTTTGTAGGTTTTTTTTTTTTAAAAACTAATTCTACTTAAAACATTAACTCTAAAAGGGATTCAGAAAAACAACACTGTTCAGTGTTATTTTAACACCTTTATAGAGTCAAAGAAGGAACTCTGGCATAGTGTTCACTATGCCAGAGTTCCTTCTTTGACTCTATAAAGGTGTTAAAATAACACTGAACAGTGTTGTTTTTCTGAATCCCTTTTAGAGTTAATGTTTTAAGTAGAATTAGTTTAAAAAAAAAAAACCCTACAAAAAAGTTAAATAAACTCCAGCACACAAAATAATTTCCATCAACTTGTTTATTTTTAATTCTCTTTTGCAGTACAATTTTAAGTTGATTTAAAACATTGCAAAAGAAGGTATGATATACAAAGTTTCATCTGCAACATTGTATGAGCTTTGAATATCAAATGGCTTACAAAATGTAATCTCTGACATTTTTATAACACACCTTTCCTCACTTCGCAGTACTCTGAATGCATGAAGATGCTCATCAAAATTCTCTGTAAATAGTTTGTTTACCAATAGATAAATGAGGTTGTCAACCAAAAGTACATCACTTATTTGACAAAAGATTGGCATTTCATTTTCCATTGCACTGCAAATAACAAGTCCAGCTCTATATTCGACACCATCAACTTTAACCCAACTGGTTGAGAAGACATCTTTTGACAAGATCATTTCAAGTATATGATTACTGACCACATTTTCATCTCTAAGGGTAAATGATTTAATCGGGCCATACTCGTTATGTTTGAGGGTAAAGGATTCCCAATGATAAGCAATGGCCATCTGATGCCTTTTAGCCAACGATTTTGTTATGTTTTTGAAATTTTTAAAAAAATCTTTGAACATCTTGTGTTTGGCCTCAAACCTCATAGACCACATAAATAATAAGGGACCAATTTTCCTGATTGAAGAGGGGTAATGGATCATAAAATGATGCTTGGGTATTAAATTTTTATGTGGGTACAAGTACTTAAATAATTTGTGGTGGTCAGCAATCAAGTGCTTCAAATAAACTGTCATGCCTAAAGTGAGACAAGGCGAAAACACAATGTTCATTATTTGAAGTAACAATAACAACAAACTCCAGTGTTTGTTACCTGGAGGAACAATGTCACCAAACAAAAGAGGGAGATTTTTCACGAGACATAATGTCTGAATGGAATTTAAACCAACGTTATTACCAGCACTCTCCAAAATAACCTTTGTGGGGCGGTTTTTACGTTCTAAAAATCCATAATCAAAAGAATAAATCCTTGAAAGCAAGTCCTCTTCAGAGATAAAGTTTTGTGTGAGATAACCAAAAAGCAATTTAGTTTCGTACTGAGCCACACCCTCTAGAAGATCATGCATTATATCGAACGAGTAGTTATCGCAAACATGAAAATACTTCAGTGTATTAAGTGAAGAGTTTTTTTTCAAACCATACAGTGACCTCAATTGCGGGTTTTCCTGGAGAGACTGGCAATGCATTTCAAAGATTTCTTTTCCACGAAGGATCACCTTAGGATCATCCTCACTGTATACCGTTTGAGAATCCTGCTTTTCAATTAAACAAAGGCGACAGAAATGACGGCTACTAAATGACTCATTAAAACCAAGAATTGAGTGCATCCCTAAATTATCGCCAGTTATCTGTGCAATGGTGCCATAAATTTGCTCATCTGAAAATGGAAGACTTATTCCTTGGCTTTCCAGTATCTTTATATCATTTATTATCGGTTCCAGTATGAAATTAAAACCGTACTTACTTACATCTTGTGTGTGAAAAAGTGCTAACAAATGAATGTTCATCAGTACTGAATTAAATTTGGGGGGCAAGTTTCTTACAATAAAATAAAGACAGCCAATTTTGTGAATTACACGTTTGGAGCCAAGGGGATTGGCAGTTTCAAAATCATCATAGTATTTTTGGATTTGTAATGCATGTCTCTTGATGGTAAACAACGGGTGAGTTTTAAAATAACAGCCATCGCTAAAATCTTTAATATTGTCAGTCTCTAATCTACAGTCTTTCCTTAGGAGATCACAAATGTCTGGATTCCTGCACATGAATTCCAAAGTTTTTAAAATTGGCACATAAATAAAAGTATCTTTAACTGGTACTTGGTCATAAGTACCAGATTTCTGATTCAGTCTGCTGTCATATCTCAGTCCGAGCGTTATCTCAACTGGTTCAACCACTCCCCATTTTTCTTTAAAGTATTTATTTCGTTTCCATTCTGTATTCAGATTTGTGAACGGGTTTTCTAATTTCTCAAAAGATTCATTTATCACAAATTTGTAGGGGTCACTTGTAGGTAAAGCAGAAAGCATGTTATGCTTTGCTTGTGAGTGAAGTGTATCTGTTAGTTCCTCTAAATCTCCTACAATTGAGGTCACTAAACTGTTTGAAATCCCACTTCCTTGTAATTTTGCCACAATGGATTCACACAATTCTTTAGTTGAATCTTTAGTAAGCTCAGAATCATTGTTCTCAGAGGAAACACTGGAAAGAGGAGATTCATGCTGGGGATTCATTTGGTTGTCTAAAGTATCTAATCGAGATGAACTTGCAAGTGGCTCACTCGAGGAACATCCAACAGTTGAAGTTAGAGCAATTTTCTGAACATTGCTATGAACATTATTAAGGTGCTTACGAAAACCTGCATATGTTTGAAACTGATGCCTACAACCTTGCTGCGAACAAATCAATTTGAACTTAGATCCAGGATAGTAACTATGTTCACCTCTTAAATGTGAAATTAACTGTTGACTGCTGTGGTGCAGTGTCTGACAAATAAAACAGATCAGCATTCTCTCAACAATGCTCAGACTTTAAGACAAGGTTACTGTCTGGTTAAGCAGTCTGGCTCTCAAATCTTTGACTCTGGGTGACTCCTTCATTTTCCCTACATCAATGTTATACAATGTTGTCTGCAGGAATGTGTAAAAGCTCACAAGTGCACTGTCATAGGACAAATTGAAAACAAAATGTGCCTTGAAAAGTTCATCAAATGCCCCAAGGAAGCGGTTTGCCTGGCATGGGATGAGATGCTTATCCAAGGTGATGTAGAAGCTGTCAATCTTGCTTTTCTGACGTCCAACTGCAAGGAGGTACGGGTGCTGATGCTGGTTGTTTCGAAGGTGCTCCTCCAAACTGCAGCATGACTAGGGTTAGGATGAACACTGAACATTAGACACAAACATAATGTGCAGTCACAGAAAAAACAACATTATAAAAGTGATTGTTCAAACATTGACTCATTGAATAGTGAAATATGGGAATGCCAAAGAAGACTTGATTTTAATCTCAATGTTTTGAGCAACCAACAACACATTATTAAAATGCCACTACCTTATGAAAGATTACAAGTCTTTCAACAGCATCACATGCACTGATTTTTGGAGACTTCGGCCCTCCTG